TCCTTTAAGGGGCTATTTCTCTCCCTAGAAATATTCAGGGCAAAGTGCTTGCAATAGCTTCCTCACCAATCACTCACCACTTCTTCCCTCACACTCAGAGATACATAGGAGTAATGTCATCAGCTTTTAATTATCCAGCCAAATAGAGGAAGCAATAATGGTCATTATTCGCAATCGTAGGTAAAGCATAAACAAAATCGCATTTTAACACAGAACACGATTTGCGAGAAGACCACAGAACGACAGTCAGATGACCTTCCAACTTCCGATTGTCCTTGGATTCTTACATTTGTTTTCTAAGGTTTGCACCCACTGACTCCCTCAACAAACATCAATGGAAATTCTCTGGTAGGGAGTCCACAAAGAGGAACCAACATCTGTAGTAATAAGAGGCGGCAGGGCTGCGTCCCCAGCACCCCGGCTGTCTGCTCTGCTAGCTTATGCCCCGAAATAACAACACACAAACTGTATTCATTTAAACACTGCCTGGCCCATTCTCTTCTAGGCTAATTCTCACATATTAATTTAGCCCATTTATAATCATCTGTGTGTAGCACCCCAAGGTGCGCTTACCAGGGAGATTCTAGCCTAGTCCATCCTGGGTCGGAGCTTCATCCCGGGAGCGGGGCATGGCGTCTCTCTCTGAGGCGTCTGCCCCCGAGAGAGCTGTGGAGTCTCTGACCTCACTTCCTCTTCCTCCCAGCATTTTGTTCTGTTTACTCCTCCCACCTATCCTCTAACCAATAAAATGGGCCAGGGCAGTGCCTTTATTAGCCAATGACCTTCCTCCATCATTTCCCCTTTTTCGGTTTAAACAAAAAAAAAGGCTTTAACTTTAACATAGCAAAATTACATATAACAAAAGTTATCAAGTAAAAGTTACAATAATCTTTATCATAACTAAGGAAAACTATAACTATAACTAACTATTCTTAACTCCATCAAAGACTCCAGAAAGATATAATATTACCTAAGTAAACAAGAACTAAGAAACTTCAAACTCTAGAAATGACAAAGACATCTCGCTGCCTGGACAGTCACCCAAAGTTCTTTTGTACCGTTGGGGCATCCATCTTCAGCCTTCAGGCCCATGGTATCCAGCAGACATTTCCATAAAGCAGGAAAATTCAAAGTCAGTTCAGTCACTATCTGTTGTGTCCTGCAGAATGTCTCGCAGACTCTTTCATGAATCAGGAACCCCGAAAGATCATCTCACCTTAGGCAAGTTCAGTAGTCCTCTCTCTGCAGGTTCTCTGTGTCCAGTTTATGCAATAGTCCAGGCAAGAGCAGTTTCTTGCCCAAATGGCTATCAAACTCCATAAGGTGCCTCTTCGATGCCCATCTTCCTCTTGAAGTAGATTGGTGCTGCCAGGAGCAGAGTGTCTCATTGTCATGAAAAGTCCTCAGTTATTAAAACATTAAATGTCCTATTCTGTAATCTTTGAAAGACACGAAGGATGTCTATCTAAAATATATCTCTATATATCTAGAAAATCTAACTAACATGACTACAAGCTTTACTATTATTGATGATTATCCATTAACAACCTATATTTCTCAATTATACAGTACATATTTAAATGAACTACACAATCACAATACCTTAATCAAAATCAGAAACACTTATACATATAACAAAATTGACCTTAAATTTCTATCAATAAAGCAAAATCTATACTAATGTAAATTATTCATATCTATATCATATCCCCCTTTAAATGTAAAAGGACGTTTATAAACCATATTTGGGAACATGGGCGCAGTTTTTTCTCTCCAAACTGCTTCCTGCTGAATGGGGGCGTCGTTAATTAGGTCTTTCATGGTATAACCTGTGTGCTAGTTTCATCTCAGTTGGCAGTTGAGCCAAGCAATTTTCTGAAGGTGTTCACACCAACCCTTCAGGAGGGCGTGGCCCATCATACCAAATCGGAGTAGAAGAAATGAACAGCGTCTCATCCTCTGTGAAAACAAAATAAGAAACTCCTTTCCAAAGTATCATGTCCTTAGATCCAAATTTCAAATTTAAGGCATTTTCAAAGTATCTATGTTGGATTAGTTCAGCAGCATTTATAAACAAATATCTTTTAGCAGTTGTTTGTCCTTCCTCAGCATTCAAACAATTCAAAGAGAGCATAATAGCATACAGTATCAAAATTCTCTGTTTATTTTCCATCTTTGTACAGCTTTGTTTTAACCTCTATTTCGTTTATTTTTACTTTTAACTTTTTGCTTTTTGAGACAGGTTCTCTGTATCTTTGACCTGAAGTAACTCTGTAAACCAGGCTTTGAACTCTCAGAGATCCGCCCGTCTCTGCCTCCCAGGCATTCAGGATTAAAGGTGTACACTACGACACCTTGACCTCACAGAGATCTGTTTGTCTCTGCCTTCTAGGCACTGGGATTAAAGGCGTGTGCTACCACACACAACAACTCTCTTCCTTTTTTTTGTTTTTTACTTTAAGAACTTCAACTTTTAGTCTGCGTATATTTTTAACACACTGTAAACCATTTAAAAATTTTCTTTGTCTTTGAATCTCTCTTTACTGTATCTCTCTCTGTTTTTCTGACCACATGAGTCTTTAATTTACCAAGCAATATCAGTAGGACTAAAGGCGTGGCTTTGCCAGCTAGATCCAGTCCATTCCTTAGCTTTCCAGCCTCATGGCGGAGGTACTGGCTGTAGCCAGCAAGCGAGCTTCAACAGCCTGTGCTTGAAAACCGCCTGCGTAAAAGAGTCAGAGTTTGTCCTGGCAGGACAGCCCAGAAAGCCGGCATTTTTAAACGGCGCAGCTTTTTTCCTGCTATGGCTGAAAACCGAAAAACATGCGTTCAGCTTTTCGTCAACACCGTTTAAGTTTTTCGTGGCAGGACCTCTTAATGAGCTGCAGGCTTTGCAGCTAAAGCTGAGTCAGGAAGCCTCTCTTAGATGAAGGCGCATGCTTGCCTCTAGCAAGCAGAGTAGAACCGAGAAATTGCTGCTACCAAGAAACCAGGCACAATGCTTTCATTTTGTTCTAGAATTACTTCCCAAGCTGTCTCTCTCAGGCTTTATGTGGAAGCAGTTGTCCACGTGGGCGCCATATGTAGTAATAAGAGGCGGCAGGGCTGCGTCCCCAGCACCCCGGCTGTCTGCTCTGCTAGCTTATGCCCCGAAATAACAACACACAAACTGTATTCATTTAAACACTGCCTGGCCCATTCTCTTCTAGGCTAATTCTCACATATTAATTTAGCCCATTTATAATCATCTGTGTGTAGCACCCCAAGGTGCGCTTACCAGGGAGATTCTAGCCTAGTCCATCCTGGGTCGGAGCTTCATCCCGGGAGCGGGGCATGGCGTCTCTCTCTGAGGCGTCTGCCCCCGAGAGAGCTGTGGAGTCTCTGACCTCACTTCCTCTTCCTCCCAGCATTTTGTTCTGTTTACTCCTCCCACCTATCCTCTAACCAATAAAATGGGCCAGGGCAGTGCCTTTATTAGCCAATGACCTTCCTCCATCAAACATCTATGAAGATTAATTTTCTCTGTTTCCAATGAGAAAGTTAAAGTGAACATCTTCGACAACTGGCATGGATATCCTCAGTGAGTTCACACAAACATCTATACAATGGCTTCCCCCCTTTAATTGAAAGTAGATTCTCTTCTCATAAAATAAATCTGATTACAGTTTCCTTTCCCTCTACTCCTCTCGTTCCTCCCCACCTCCCCTCCCATCCAGATTCACTCACTTTCTACCTCTCATTAGAAAAGAGCAGGCTTCCACAAGATAATAATAAAATAAAACACAATAAGATAAAACAAAAACCATCATATCAAAGTAGGACAAGACAAACCAACAGAAAGAAAAGAGCCTAAGAGAAGGCACAAGAATCTCATCCACATACTCAGGAATCCCATAAAAACACGAAATTGGAAGCCATAATATTATACACAGAGGCCTTAAGTGCAGACCTGTGCAGATGCTGTGCATGCTGCCTCAGTCCCTGTGAGTTCATAAGAACTTCGCTCATGGTGATTTAGAAGAACTTGTTTTCTTGGTGTCCACCATTCCCTCTGGGTCTTACACTCTTTCTGCCTCCTCTTCTGCTGGGTTCCTTAAGGTCTGAGGGGAGAAACTTGATGGAAACAACCCATTTAAAGCTGAGTGCACCAAGCTCTCTCTCTCTCTCTCTCTCTCTCTCTCTCTCTCTCTCTCTCTCTCTGTGTGTGTGTGTGTGTGTGTGTGTGTGTGTGCGCGCGCGCGCGTGCATGCACACGCTCACGAAATGTCTGGTTTGGGGTCTTTATATTTGCACACAGTGAATTTTAAGAAAGAGAAACCCTTTATGAGAGAATGTACTCACAAAAAAATCTCATTGGCACTCAGAACCTCACATTTTGGTATATACTTTCCACACATCCTTTCATCAGTTGTATGGGGCCTACATTTTAGGCCAAAGACTAAAAAGTCAAAGTAGAACAGCTGTGTCTTTCGTTAACTAAGGTTTACTATTGTGTGGCGCATAGAAAGATTAAAGACACAAGATTAAAGATATAAGTCCCTGCCCCGATTCCCTTTAAATTTGCCATACACATACATATTTTACAAAAGTCTGTTGTTATAATTAGCAGATTTTGTCAGCAAAAGCCCCTAAAGGCACAAAATCAGTTACTCAGCTCAGCTCATCCTAATGGGGGAAGCAGATTTTAGAATTCCTTTATAGAGGGAGAATATGAAACCTAAAGTTACATAACTTGTGCAAAAAGAAAGAAGATTTAGAAATCTAGTTTTGTATGGTCCAGAGCCTTCTACTACAGGACAGCTACATGTGTTTCAATTTCACCCAAGGGAACTCAGTCAACATTGTCATTTTCTATCACTTATCAGCAAGACACAGCACTGAGATTACAAGATACATCAGCGATTAGCAAAAGCATCATCAGCCCTTCTCTCTGTGGCTGGACCACAGCTTAGCAAGGGCACAGCTTCAGACCTTGAGTGTTTCATTGGCAAGGGTCTCACCTTTGCTGTCTCAGCTTCTCCCTGCAGTCTCTTGGGGGTTCCTTTTTGGTCAGGCACCTTCTGGAATTTTTTGTTTTTAATGGACTGAGATTCTACACCTTCAGCTTCAATCTGCAGCTTAATTCCTTCAGCATGGGCAGGGTGATCAATGCCCCTCGGATTCAAACCACAGTGAAGAGCTAGGAGAGACGAATACATAGATCTCAGACAACAAATCATACAGAGAAAGTGTCTGTGACAGAAAATATTTCATCAGGCCTAAGTGGGAAGAAACAAGGTTTCTGTGAGTTGAGAGGTGGTTTAATGACAGCGGGAAATAGCATAGGTGAGGAAAGAATATGGCATTGCGGGAAATCTTGAGCTTGGAAGCGAAAACCCAAATCCCTCAATTCCAAAGACTTTTGCTTTGAGCACATTGCTAATACCCGCATTACAGACGGAGTACCAGGTCAGGTAATGTCATTACTGCCTCCCGCTTAGCTATTTTAACCCTGCAGTCTAGTTTATTGCTCTGTCTTCATCTAGAACTTGCTCACACCCTGCACCCTACTGAAATCTTCTATTTATAAAACATCCATCCACTTAATCTACCCTCTTAAATTCATTCTGTCTATATTTGGTGGGCATGTGTATATACTGTTGTTGTGGTAGACTCTTCCAATGTGGACTTAAATAACACAAGTGGAACGTTCGAAGAACTGTGCCGACCAATGAACTCACAGTTTTTAAAAGTCATCAGTGCTACAAAATAGGAAAAGAAAAAAAGATGAAGGTGGGGACATTAGAGTACTCAAGTCCAGTAGCTTCAATTTTTCATCTTAGTCTCTGTATCTTCTGAAATTGACTATCTCTACCAATGAAATCTGGGGCTCATATTTTTATATATTTATTTGAAAAACATGGATACACTCCTCCTATGTACCCAATTTTATCTAAGAAATAGCAATGAGTGTTATGAAAATCACATATTCCCCTAGACAAATTCTCACAAACCACCACTTTTGCACATAGGTCTGTATACTTGCATGTGTGCCCATGGCATCCATGTTCATGTGTTGTAGGATGTGTAATAATAAAGTATTTCAGATCTCTGTGTTCCAGAACAATAAGATTTAAATTCTCATCCACATCACCAACTCTTTGACCTCAGATGGGTCAAAGTCAAATACTAGAATCTCCCCTTTATCTCTGCTAAGACATTAATTCACTGACAAACACCCCTATTCCATCATCTTGAGCTTCCCCCTTTTCATTTTTCTTCTTTGGTCACCTTTTCCAGTCTTCATCCCTGCATTTTTCACTAGTCTTTCTATCCAGGCTGCAGTCCCCACTCCTCTTACTGAGTCCTGAAGACTGTTTTATAGGGAGAATAATTTGAGAGAATACTCCCCAAGAGAAGGAAGGTCAGGCATTTTCTTCCCATTCTCCACTTTCTTACTACCAGGTACCATTGACTCCCATAGCTTTTGATACAGGAAGTACCCAATCTGAATATGCCCCAAACTGGACTTCAGTTTTCTTTTTGTAATTTTATTTTATTTTATTTTCATTGATTTTTATTGAGCTCAACATTTTTCTCTGATTCCCTCCTTGTCTATCCCATCCCTTTCAATCCTCTCCCAAGGTCCTCAAGCTCCTAATTCACTAAAGAGATCTTGTCTTTTTCTACTTCCCATGTAAATTAGATCTATGTATGTTTCTCTTAGGGTCCTCATTGTTGTCTAGGTTCTCTGAGATTGTGATTTGTGGGCTGGTTTTCTTTGCTTTATGTTTAAAATACACTTATGAGTGAGTACATGTGATCATTGTCATTCTGTGTCTGGGTTACCTCACTCAAAATGATGTTTTCTACCTCCATCCATTTGGCAAAATTCAAGAAACATCTGCCTGTTGATTTCCCAAAATTGAGGAGTCATTCATGACTTCACTCTCCCCAAGATTCACCACAATCCCTCTCACCTCCCACCAAAACTATTAGCCGGAGCACAAACAAAAGCTCAAATGCATCCCAGTTCCATTTCCACTGTCCCCACTGTAGAGCAAGGCAGGCATCAGATGCTTAGATCAACAACCTAATTCATCTGCTTCTTCTTGTCCTTTAAGACCCAGTAATATAAATGTGTGTCTACCCTGTCACCAGACTCCTTTCCTTAAAGTGTTTCAGTGGCCTCATTTCACACTCAGGTAATTCAGAAAGCTTCATCTTCTTCAACAAATCCTATTGTTATCTGCCTACCTTGATCTTCCCAGCTTCTCTACCCACACCCAATTTCCCTTGATCATCATGTTTTGTTCATGTGATTCCTTTTTCTCTTCACCAAGTTCTTTCCCAACTTGAATATCTGTGCCTCTTTCTTTGCTTAAAATGGTCTCCATTATTCACTTACCTACTTAGCCTGTAAGTTTTTGCCTTTAATGTGAATTCTCTGTGTACCTTTTTCTAATACTGATTTTCACCCTTGCACCTGTGACCTTCCCTGGCATACCAGGTACCTTGGCGAATAAATACCCAAGAATCTAAACCATCTGACTGAAAGAAAGATCATAGGCATGCAATCTCCTGCCATTTTATAGAGATATTATTAGTGCATTTCTCTCCCCCTAGTTCTTTAGCTTCCCTAAAAGCAATGAACAGTCCTGTCACAAATTTAAGCACTCGGGATGTATCAGTTCATGTGCCCTCCCTCAGGCTTTGTTCTGAATCTCAAATGATATTCATGAAAAACTCTGCCAGACATAATTATATTCATTTTTCAGATAAGGGAAATGAGGCTCAAAAGGGTTATGGTCACAAAAGGTCACACAGGTGTCTGCAGAAGGTCACAAAGATCAAGGATCATTTGGAATGCACACAATTTTAAGTTAGAGATGAGTACATCCAACCTAGATTAAATAGAAAGGAAACTTGTAAGTTTTTATAATGGAAAGTTCTGTCTAAGTACAAGTCCCAAGCTAGCTGAGTTTGTGGCTCAAGAATCCTCTAAAGGACCTTGAGCCCCCTCCCCATCTCCCCATGTTGCTATTGGTAGCATCACCTTTATCCTACACATAGAGACCCTTAGCTACATGCTTCAGATATCAACCTTGAATAAGAGAGAACTTAGGCATCGTTCTTTCCCCCAAATCATCTTCTAAACGTTAATCCTTTCCTACTGGCTGAAAGGGAATCACATGTTCATTATTGAAATGCGACCAACTGAAATTCAACTACCCTCAGTTTCCCTAACACTTACTGCTGCTACTCAGTAAAGTCAGAATATAATGAAGATTGGAGAACAAGCTACAATGTTCAAATTACAGTGATAGAAAGAGAACCTGTAAGAGCATGAAACTAATTACTGTTAATATCAATCAGTTTTTACATCTCCAAAGACCAGCTGACTTAAAATGAATATTCAATTACATATCCTAAAATTGTGATTATACCAAAAAGGTGTGCTTCTGTAGGGAGATAGCAGATTCACATGGGATGAAATTAGACATGAATGAGGGAGAGAAAAATGCCCAGCTTTGATCTTTCTCTTCCAGCATGATTCCCTGTTGCTTTCTGCATTGAAATTCAGGGTGTGGGAATATCACTGAACTGCTATAAGCTTCCATCACCTCAGATTTTCTCACTCTATCACCTCCCGCCAAATGAGGCTCCCATACTCTCTTCATCTAGTCTCATGGGTCCCTCCCTTAGAAAGAAGTTTTATTCTACCTGTGCACTAATCTAAACTTTCACCTTCCTCTTGAGAGGCAGGTGCATCTGAAGGGAAGATGATGTCTTCCAAATGGAATCTTAACACCATGATAGATACATACACACTTGTGGTGAAGATTTCCCATGCTAATTGTTTTTTAACAACTAGGTTCTTTCTAACACACATTTTGGATTTGGACTCTTAATTTTGAAATGTTCAATGCTAAGACATTAAATAAAAGTCATAAGCAGGAAAACTTTTAGGTAAAGAATTCAAGCTTTCTATGTCAGTTCAATAACTAGAAACTTGTTAAGCACAAGAATATTTGAGAAAAATCAAAGAAACATGAAGGGTGCCTCAAAGCTGAACCCCGAGCAGCTGAGCCCATTAAATTGAGTAAATAACTTTAGTGAAAACAAGCAAGGGTAGTGATGAAGACAGAAACAAGAAAGCAAAAGGGGATGCTTTGTACATGATGGGCAGAGATGAAGGTTACACCTTAGAGGAGGCCACTGGAACATCGCTTGATTTGTAAATATCAGGGACATGAAATTTCAGGGAAAACAAAACAGTCTGTCAGAAATACTTTTAAATAAATAAGTCCAAGAGCAAAAAACTAAATTAATGCTAGGTTTGCAGTCAAGGAGGGAACAGCTATGGTAGATTTAAGTATTTGTGTGATGAATAAGGCTACGTGTATAGAAAGTCAAGAAACTATATATGCCTCTTGTTTATAGACTCTCTTATACTTTGAACATCAAATATTTTCCTAGCGGAGAAAACTTTACTACTGATTTAAGGCATGACTGTGTAAAAAGAGGAGAATTCTGGTTCATTCTACAGCTGAGCAAATGCTTCATTTCTTAAATGTATAGGATATGCAGTGCTTGAGTTTTGAGAGTGGAGATAATGATGCTAAATATGAGATGGTGCATATCTGCCCTCCTAGAATCTGCAACTGTGGTTAGGGAGGCAGACACACCTATGTGGTGGATATATATATATATATATATATATATGTGTGTGTGTGTGTGTGTATGTGTGTGTGTTGTGTATTTTTTCTTGGGCATTCAGTTCCTTCTGAGAATAGGCATATGAGGCAGTGTAAGCAAAGGATTATTGCTGGAGGAGATGTCTTGGTTGACATATATGCCAAGTAGGCTGGCTTCCCAAACAAGGGAGCTGATATTACAAAGAGTGCCTAACATGAGCCAATATCAAGAAAATATGAAAGTCTAGGTTGATGCTGGGGATGACAAAACAAAAGAGTGATATTGGTAAACAGAAAGGTGAACCATCTAAATGTCCCTGGATGGAGCGAGGGCTGGTAAAAGTGTGACAAAGGAAATGGAATTGTAATTTCGTCTTCAACATGAATAAGGTCTTGAGAGAAGGAAATGACATGGATGAACACTGAGGAAATGACATGAGTCTGTCACAAAGGACACACGAAGCTCTGGGTGGTGACTCACGCCTACAGTCCTAGCTCTTGG